TAATATGTATGTCCAGTATGTGGTTAGCTTGTTATCACTTTATGAATATAGTTAACATATATTTATTAATAATTACTTTTCATGATCCCATATGGACTAGAAAATTATCCCTTATAAAACATTATCCCTTATAAAACATTGAACTTGTTTTATCTTAAAGTTGCTTTTATTTAATTTTCTCTTACTATAATTATTTGGTTTATGGGGTTTGAACAAATATCTAATTTCTAAATTTTTGATATAATTTATAATCTAAATGTCTACCTTACTACCAAAATACCTCATGTTGATACGTTCCCCTATCTTGCATCAATTCCACTGTACCACCTCTTCTTTTTTTTTAATGTTATTCCGCTATACCACCTCACATCCATATATAATCACTAAGAGATAAAATACAAGGTTTGAAAATTCGGCCATTTATATCAAAATCGCCTAATTTGCATCAAGAATCTTCAACATCATTCTGAATCCCTCAATAAATGGGGGATCCGAATGGGCTCTGACAATTCTGTCTGAGACCGGCTGGACATGGTCTATATTAGAACTTGTGGAAATTATAGAAACCTGGATTTATTTTATGGTACAATATTTTTTTTCATTTTATGTGTACCCTATATTAGGAAAGTGGATCATTTTATATATTACTTTATTTAGTAGTACACTACTTTGTAACCCTATAAATTGATGCTCTTGTTGTATCTTTGATAAACTCTAAAATACATCTTCCATGAGGGTTTAAAGCTCAAATATACAAAAATATAGTTTCTTACATGGTATTAGAGCCACTAAATATCAATTTCGTATGATGCAAGAAATCTCCAACTTCGTCTAATTCAAAATGTTTTTAATTACCAAACAACCTTCATCATTTATTGGTTCGATTTATTGGTCACCGTTATTCTGCCCTTCAGATATTGGTGTTCCCCAATCCCTTACTGTTATCATCTATTACTGGTTCTAAAAGCTCCGTTTTTTCCATTGCCTTCCACACAACTAAAACCCTATATTATTTTCTCTCTCTAGGTAGAGTAGGCCCCACTACGTTTTCAGAGGACATCACTTGTATCTAAACTTCTGTCATATTCTATTTATGCCTCACACCCATTGACATTACATACCATTTCATTCTTGTTTTTTTTCGTCCCATTCACTCTTCATTGCATCTCACGACCCACCTCAACTATCAAGCATCATCCTTTCTGTATTAAGCATCGTCCTCTTGCTATCTTGCTTGGTACCCATTGGATGGTTATTTGAAGAGAGAGTGGCTCGAGATAACCCCAAATCCTCAAACTCAATACTTAAAAACGTGATGCATCCGCCTCAAAAATGGCTTATGAAACTGTCGTTCTGCACAATCTATAAAACAACCACGGAGTCATGTTTTCACTCTCTAGTATGTTTCTCTGCCGAGTTGTATTTCGACTCTTTGATCTGTTTGGATCTTACTATTCTCAACTCTGAATCTAATGTCCAACTGTGCTTGTTGAGTCGCCGTTGCTTTTTATTGGCTCTTCCAAGTGCTTCTTGTTTGATGATCGAATTTCTCGATCTTGGTTGATGATCAATTTTTCTGTTACTCTATTATATTTAATGATTGAGTTTTCTGTTACTCGATTCTATTGAATGATGAGATTTTTCGTTACTTCATCATGTGTGATGATCGAGTTTTTTTTGTTATTTGATCATGTCTATTCCAGAGACCTGTTGATTTGCTGTTACATGAGACTGCTCTGCTCGAGGAGTTGATTTTTGAGGATCACTTATTTGTAGTTGCTCAAGCTTCTTTTGTTCTTGTCTTTCTAAGGCATGCCTTCAGTTGTCCAAACTCAAGTTGCTCTCTTTTAACACATTTTGAGTTTGAAGGGGGATGTGAAAATTATAGCAACCTGTACTTATTTTTTGGTATAATATTTTCTTTCCTTTTATGTGTACCCCATATTATGAAGGTGGTTCATTGCATATGTTATTTACTCAGTATTACACAGCTTTGTAACTTATAAATTGAAGATTTTGTTCACATCTTTGATAAGCTCTGAAATACATTTTATATGGGAGCTTAAGACCCAAATATACAGAAATATAGTTTCTCACAGAACTACATGTTGAGAAAATACCCATTGACTCCAAATAGGTATAAAAAGGCTTATGGGACTGTTGAACACTACAAAGCTTTCCCAGTTGCTAAAGGTTACTATCAGTGAGAAGGCCTTGATTATCACGAGACACTTGACACTTGCCCCAGTAACCAAACTGGCTACCATTCAATGTCTTCTTGCACTATAGCTATCACAGATTGATGACTTCATCAACTTGACGTGTAAAATGCCTTTTTGCATGGTGATTTAAAAAAAAAGGTATACATTAATATTCCACCCGATTTTTCATGTAAGGAGGAGCAAAGTGTTTGTTGCTTGAACCCCTTTATGGACATAAACATGCCTCATTTCAGCAGATCGCTACGGTTTTAGATGCTTTACAGTTTATCCTTACCACGAAGTAGTGTTTTTCGAGGCAAATTTTTCTAGTGATCAAAACTAGGAAAAATTTATGCAAGGCATCAATCGCATAGTATATAAGGTGCACCTTAAGGACCCAATGGAAAAAGGTTGTTGGGAGGCTAGAAAACCCTCTGATCTATCATCTTGAGCTCTAGATGCATAGATATGACGAAAAAAAAAGAAGGATTTTTAAAATCTGTACAACTTTTTGAACTCAAAATTTTACTATTAACAGTGAAAATAGATTTTAAGGCCATTATGAAGATTTCAAACACCAAAATTACAACTTCCTACAAGGTTTGTAGGTGTACTTTAGCGTGATTATTCAAGGTTGACGCTCTACAAACTGCACCCATCTATCTTTTACTATTTAAAATACGATCCATTTTCTATGCGACCAAGCTTGCATATGTAGAAATGCGGGCTTCTTAATAAATCTATTTTTGAGATGGATTTTAAGGCTTAATTTTCAAGGACCTGTAATAAGTAACATGGAGATCATGAATATGAATAAATAAATAAATTTTTAAAACTAAAAATAATAATTCTATAAAGAAAACATTTGGACCATTAGTTTCCATTGTTTTTAGATGGAACACCTACTTGCATCCATATTTCATATGAATGATTTACACTTTCTAGACAGCCTATGTAGAAGTGCGGTCCAGCCCGCATGAAACAATTTTTCTTTAAAATATTTTAAAAAAATATATAAAATCGACTTAAGAGGAGCATTTTAGGAAACATCAACAATAGTAAATCTACGAAATAAATAAAAACAAGGAGAGAACACACGAAAAATAAAAAATAAAAAAGAAAGAAAGAACGAAATGGTTTTGTCCACATTATTCCGTAATCAATTGGCTTTCTTGAAGCTAACTCCCTTACCGACCTTCCAATCTCTATTTTTAAATTTAAGTAATTTTTTAAAAATTGACTTTATTTAAGGTAATTCCCTTATTTATAGCTTCTAAATCTTTACCTAAAATTTAAGCAAGTTAAAATACACTTCCACAAATCTTTTTAAAGGATTGGAAGAAAATAGAGAGCAGGTTCGAACCTCACGTTTATGTAACCCAAAGAAACACATCAATAATAATAATAAAAAAATCTGTCGTCCCGCAGGAGCATATCTTAGATTAAGTCCTGGTAAAACCGCACAGGCATTTTCTGGATCTTATAATTTGAGGAATGTAACCTCATGAACCTAAGATTCGACCACAAAAAATATTTCATGTGCCCAATTTATGCGCATAAAAAAATAATAATGTCTTAAGATCGAGATGGTTTAATTTTTTCTAATAATTAGATAGAAGCGCTTAAGAGCTTAAGGTCCAAGGTGATTTTAAATTGGATTCCAAAAATCTCAAACTGAGTTGATCCCCTGAATAGGTGCATCTTGGGGTCACATACATGATATGCAGTCTCCGTGTCTCCTGATAATAAAAAAAAAAAACATGCACCCCATTTATGTGCTTTAAAATTAAGATTACACAAAAACCATTAAAAAAAAGGTGCAGTTGGCATACGGATGCATCCGTAGCTGTAGAGGTAAGATGCACCTTCAAATTTTATCATGGTATATAATTTTTACGAAAAATGTTCTTAGGATTATCTCAAAATCTATTTTTATATCTAATTATAAAATTTTAAATTTTAAAAATGGTTAAAATCAAGTAGATCTATAAACATATGAAAATCTTGAAAATAGATGGTGTAGATAATATGTTGTAAAATGCACTATTGTTTAGACTTAAAATCTATGGTCATAAATCTCGATGTCGAGATGATCAATCAAAAGGTTTTTCAACATTAAAACTACCTTTTCCGATGGATTTTTGAGGTGCATCCGTGGTTCTACGTTATAAGGTTGCATCCTTGTATAAACTTTTTCCTTAAAAAAATGCCCAGGTATTTGGAAATTAAAATCTAATTTTTTATTTATAAAAAGAGTGAGGTTTGTGTAATATTGTCTCATTACTATAGAAGTAAAGTGTACCTCTAAACTTTGTTTAGAGATGTCGTAAGCTTTATAATGACTTGAAAATCTATTTTCATTTTTATTTATAAAATTTAAAATTAGTATAGATCGAGTATATTGAGAAAAACTTAAATTTTTTGAAAATAGGTAGTCTACATAACTTGATCAACTTGCATTAAATTTTGGGCTTAAATTTGTTATTTTTCATCGATACATCATCTCGAGGTGGAGATAATCAATTAGAGGGTTATATAGCACATTCTCTTTTTCAGGATTTTTGAGGTACACCTTACTTCATTAAAATATGATTACAACTTTATATAAACTTTTTCCGTATAAATATAGTAATGTGGAGAGGATTCCAAAATTTCTAAGCGATGGGGTCCTAGTAGGTATGTGCTTTCCTAAGTGTGTATCTATACAATACACACCTGCAAGAGCACGATACATCCAAGTTAAGAAAAATATATATTTCAGTAATTGCTTGCTGCCCCTTCTCCACGTTTTCTCTCTCCAAAATCGAAATCGAAATCGAAATCGAAATCGAAATCGAAATCGAAATCCCTCGCTCTCTCCAAAATGGAAATCTCTCGCCTCTCTGTCTTCCCTGTAATTGTTTTGTGCCTTTGCCTCTCTGTCCATAATTTTGACTGGAGTGAACTGTAAAAGCCGTCTCACCTCTGTCTCTCTTTTCACAACCACAAATAAGTTTTTCTTATAGACTCTTGGCCATCATTGGATTTTCTCTACTTCAATTTCTATAATCAGGACTCTGCTTCCTGTCTCTACTGTTTCATATCTTAAATCCTTGAATCTCTTTTTTGCAAATTCAAGCTTGATCAAAGATCAAAATTTGAGAATTGATGGCTGAAAACATGGGAAACAAGGATGACTCTTCATCTTCATCTTCATCTGAGATAGAGAGAGAAAGAGCAGTTCGATTGCAAGAGCTTGAGAGAGAAAGAGCGGGACGATCGTTAGGGCAATCGGTAATACCTATCGTGAACAAATTGCAGGACATATTTGCTCAATTAGGAGGGAATTCAACCATTGATCTTCCTCAAGTTGCAGTGGTTGGAAGCCAGAGCAGCGGGAAGTCGAGTGTTTTGGAAGCCCTAGTTGGAAGGGACTTTTTACCGAGAGGCAACGAAATATGCACTCGAAGGCCCTTGGTGTTGCAGCTTGTTCACAATATTAAGGATTCACAGGAATGGGGCGAGTTTTTGCACCTTCCTAAAAAGCAATTCTATGATTTCTCAGAGATTCGACGAGAAATTGAGGTATCTTTCCCTTTTTTGGTTAGCTTTTCAGAGCAATTTTGGTGATATCACAGGAATTCATGTGTTTTTGTTTTGTTTGATTGTTTTCGGGAGAAGCGTATGTTGTTTTTTTGTTGCCATTTTGACAATAATTCAGAGAAAAATACTGGTACTTTTCCTTCTTTTTTTTTTTAATATTTGATAACAGTACACAGATTTTCAGGTGATCAATTACCCTTTCCTTGGGACTAGATTGCTTATTTTGTTTTGGTGGGTCATGGTTTTACTTTATTTCATTTCATGAGAAGGACTTCCTAGTTTCTTACAATCTGAAATTTAGTAGTGGGGGATGTTCTCATAAAACCTGTACTTATGGAAAACATTGTACTTCATCTAGTGTTGGACTTAACAACTAAGATAGAAAAGCTGTTTTGCCTTTCATAAACTGTAGGATTTAATTTAGGACAAAGGAAACATTACGTTGAGATTTTGCTTAAGAGCTAGGAATGCAAATTGGAGGTTGGGAGAATTTAAAGGAACTTTGAAGTGCTTTCATTCAATACAAAACAAATTTTGTCGGTGTTTTATTGCTGATATGTGGTTGAACTATGCCGACTATCATATTGTTATGGAGCATGTTATACCCAGCTGAATACATCATCACTCCATTCACCTGTTCTTTTCTTTTATTATAGAACAAGTAAGTAAAAAGTTCTGGATTTCATCTCAATTATCAAAAATAGGAAAAAAAAATCTAGATTGCATGTCAAAATTGAGGTATGTATGCCAAGATATTAATAGATTAACCATGAGCTAATCCATTATCCTCACTATGAACATGACCAGTCTTTAGAACTCCTATGGAACCTAAACGGTCCATAATTACAACCCTCTTTAGTCAAAACTCTAATCCTAAAAGGTCCATAACTCTTCTTTAGTTAAAACTCTAATCCTCCCTAGTGCTTTTTATACCTTCACCCAAAATTTGTCCATTTCTTTGATTGTCAAAGAGAATATCAAAGAAAATAAGAAAATAAATTAACTTGTTAAATCCCCATCTCTCACTGTGACCTTATGTACAATGCTTGACCTTTTTGGATGATACTTAATTTGTTTCGTCCCCCATCCCTCACTGTGACCTTTTGTACAATGCTCGACCTTTTTGGATGATAATTAAAATGTAGGACTGTATAAATCAATAGGACTCTCACCAGAGCTCAGCAATTTCCATGAACACCCCTCTATCATGTAGAGATAGAAAGGAGCATCTTTTCCTTTAGAATTCAATGATTTTGAATTGTTAATCACGACCATGGAAAACTGCTAACATGTTTGGTTTCCTAAAATTTTTCATAGCCATGGTCCCTTCCTTGTTGGTAAAAGATGGAATAAAAATTGTTCTAAATCTTTCATCCTGTTTTGAAATTGTGCTTTGTGGTTGTTCTGAAGTTTTTCTACAAGTTGTTATATTTATCCAGGAGTTTGGTGTGCAGGCTGAGACTGATAGGGAAGTGGGTGCAAATAAAGGTGTTTCAGATAAACAGATACGCCTTAAGGTGTTCTCCCCAAATGTCCTTAACATAACTTTAGTGGACTTGCCTGGTATTACAAAGGTCCCAGTTGGTGATCAGCCAAGCGACATTGAGGCCCAAATAAGAACTATGATACAGTCTTATATCAAGCATGAAACTTGTATAATTTTGGCAGTTAGCCCTGCAAATTCTGATCTGGCTACTTCAGATGCTCTTCAGATGGCAAGCATTGTTGATCCTGATGGTGAGATGTTTTACTTCTTGAGAATTAGTTGGTGAATGACTACAATTGTATTATAATGTCTTTAATGCTTCCAATAGCTGTTCTATAATTCACTGCTGGTTCTCAAAACATGGATTATGTGCAGAATGATCTATTTATTCAGAGAAGTATCTGAACAATCAAAAGAATTAGCTAACTTGAATCAATTGACAGGTTCTCGAACAATTGGTGTGATCACAAAGGTGAGTTGCTATGTGGGTTTTTGAAGGAGTAATTTGTTCTATGGAACTGGCCATGTTTATCGTATATGTTTTATCGTGTATTGGATACTCAACTGAGATTTATGTTTCTTTCAGCTGGATATCATGGATAGGGGTACTGATGCATGCAGGTTTTTGCTCGGAAAGGTTGTTCCCCTTCGCTTGGGGTACATTGGTGTCGTAAATCGTAGTCAGGAGGCAAGGATTTTTGTTATCTATTTTTATTTTTTTATGTATGATTGATTTATCTCCCTGTACTGTTTTGATGGAAAAACAAAATGTTTTGGTTGCGAATCGTGTTGCACGCGTATGTGATGGTTTTTCTGAACTTCAGAGACGTCAATGTTCGCATGGTTTATTTTAAGCTTTTTTCTCGTGGTAGATTGATTGCTGTGGAATTTTGGTCCTACTTTCAGATTTTCCATTTTGAGACTTGTTAATGTTTCTATTTTTTTTTTAAAAACAGGACATTGCTCATAACCGAACTATTGCAGAAGCACTTGCACATGAGGAGAATTTCTTCAGGAGTCATCCTGTAGCTTTCTTTCTCCACTGAGATGGTTATCTCTATCTTTATATTGGGGTTTGATTATAACTGGCATGAAGTTAGCTGAGTGTTTACTTTTACTACTTTTGACAGGTCTATCATGGTCTTTCTGATCGTTGTGGTATCCCACAACTGGCAAAGAAGTTGAATCAGGTAGTGCCCATATTAATTTCAGTGATTTCTAATGTCATATTTATTTATTATTCTAAAATTGGGGACAGGGATAGTTCATCTTGCCTTTTGGTCCCTGTTTATATTCCAGCATTGAGTGGAAAGCATCATGAATAATTCTTTTAATATTCATATTCTCACCCATATTTTATTTCCATCTAACTGTCATGCACTTCTAGCCATGACCTACCCAGATTGAAATACGTGTGTAAATCACGATGTTGCATTTCACTATATTGCATTTTCAGATTGATTTTGTCGTTTGCATCATTTCAGATTCTTGTGCAACATATTAGAATGGTTATTCCTGGACTGAAGGCTCGGTTAACTGCTCAAATGGTTGCTGTTGGCAAAGAGCTTAACACTTTAGGAGAAATTACTGAGTCCAAAGTAGGTAAATTTATTATTAAAAATGTTCATCATGTTTATCACTAAAATAAGTTTTGATGATACTTCCTACTGATGGCATAAAAAAATAAAAAGAAGAAGAAGAAGAAGAAGAAGAAGAACAAGAAGAACAAAAAAAATCATCTTCACTGTCCTGCAGAATATGTGCTCCCTTATATGTTATCTGCAAATTGCACCCTGTTCTTCTGATAATAATTAATGCCATTAATTATCACAGAAGATAGTAAATTCTAGCATTGAATTTCAGACATGTGCACTACCCGTTATCTTACTCTTTATACCTTCATTTATTATTGACACAGGCTAGCCAAGGAGCTTTTTTGCTGAATATTCTTACTAAATACTGTGAAGGTAGTAATTTTGCTTTTGTTATTTCCTCATTCCTCTTGAGAATGAAACTGATTTATTTATGACAGCATATATGGTATATAAAGAAATTCTTCTTTACTTTTATGTTGTGCATGCATGATAAATACCTGGCGCCCACCTTTCTGTATGCATGTCTACATTTGTGTGCCTGGGGGGCCCATGAAGCTGAACTCTTATGTCAGTTTCTTTGGCAATCCCAATCCATCAGGGATGGAGAAGTGTTTCTCCTTGAGGCTTTTGGGGGCCCAATTTGTTTTCCTTGTTGTGGAAATGTGGCCTGTTGGCGCTTGTTCTTTTTGAACATTTTTCAGAGCCACTGCTTGTGTTGGGTGCCTTATTGAATGTGATCATGTAGGCATGATGTGTGGCTCCTAAATTCCTGTCTTTTGTTGGATGAGGTACTTTTTTGTTCTGGAAATTTATGAGTGGTTGGTCATTTCCATCATCATGTTGTGAAGTAAACTAGCGAGACTACAGATTCATTGGTTAGAGCAGAGTTGGCCATAGAGATTGTTTTGCTCGAGTGGATGTTCCTAGTATTAGATTGTCTCACCAACTAAATTTGATTGTGGAGAAAAAACAGAAATAGGGACCTCTAAATGGTAGCTGAAATTTAAAACCCAGAGCACTTTGAGTTAGGTGGAAAAATGTGAGACAGGAGACTATTGTAAGTTTTCTCTAAAAGAAATGAGTATGACTACAGGAATACATGAATTGGATCCTAAAAGTATTGCTAGCGTGGTTCTCCTTTTTGTTCCCCTGGACAAAATTCTTTTCTAGCTTGAGGAGACTTATTAACAATGTAGTACAGCAATCCTGAAAATAAGTTCTTGGACTTTGGTTCCTTCAATGATCCACATGATTGCCTTTCATTGGCTACTTGTTGTCTTACTAGACATGGTGGTTTTGCGTTTGCCTTTTCATTTTATCATATCTTCCTTTGTAATATTTAGTATCTACATAGACCTGGACATTCATCCATATGGTTTATTGTTATAATAACTGACAGAAAGCAGCTAGTTCACTTCTTCCGGCCCTAGAATTTTTTGTTGAGCCATGGCATATGTAGGCATGTTTGGAAATGCTTTTATCGACATGAATCTTCTGGGTTAGGACATCTTTGCTAGTTTGCTGCAATCCATATAGTTGCCACATGAGTATAATAAAAGAAGTTTCCCTCCTTTTCTGCTCCATGTTATTCTTGTTGTCTTCATTGTAGTGACACTTTTCTTCTGTTTAATCCATTCAATTGACAGCTTTTGCAGCGATGGTGGAGGGGAAAAATGAAGAGATGTCCACAACGGCACTTTCAGGGGGTGCCAGGATTCATTACATTTTTCAGTCTATATTTGTGAAATGCTTAGAGGTGTGTCACTCATTTAATTTCTTTTGAAATGCTTTAGAGTCAGGAATATATATTAATTCTAACAATTTTTCTGTAGTCACCATCTTTCCGGAGGAAATTCATGTAATTACTTTTTGCTTCTGTTTAGGCCAGTCAAAAGACCCTGATGCTTATGGATTTCTCTAATGTCACTAACATCCGTTTTGTTAAGTAGGAAGTCTCAATTATGATTTATTATCTCCTTTCTTGGCAAAATAATGGGGAGTAGATTTGCAGGAAGTGGATCCTTGTGATGATTTGTCTGATGAAGAAATCCAAACAGCTATTCAGAATGCCACTGGTTCGAAGAATGCTTTGTTTGTGCCAGAGGTGAGTGGTATATAAGACAGTTTTATATTTTCTCTAATATCACTGCATTATAGTGTGCTTATACATTTTCAGTAACTAAGACTGTAGGATGGTAATTTTCCTTTAATCCATGCATTCAGGTTCCTTTTGAGGTTTTGGTGAGAAGGCAGATTGCTCGTCTTCAGGACCCAAGCCTTCAATGTGCACGATTCATTTATGATGAGCTAATAAAGGTAGAGAGAGTTGGCCTTTTCCTTGGTGAAGTTATTCCATGGGACTCCCAGTTTTTATCTAAACATCATGGAAAGTCAAATCTAAACAGGGCATTTCTCATTTTACTTCAGATGAGCCACTTTTGTCAAACTAATGAGCTGCAAAGTTTTCCTGTTCTGAGAAGGCGTGTAGAGGAAGTTATGGGTAACTTCCTACGTGAAGGCATGGCACCTTCTGAAGAAATGATAAAGCACATTATTGCGATGGAGGTTTGCATTATTGGTTTGAATTGCCAAAGTTATAATGCAACACGTGTATATGTAAGCCCTTTTGTTCTAGTACTTTACATGTCACATTTTTCTCCAATTTGCAGATGGATTATATAAATACCTCGCATCCAAATTTTATCGGTGGAAACAAAGCAGTAGAACTTGCAATGGATCAGGTGAAGGGTTCGAAGTTGGCTAATTCTGTGATCAAGCCAAAGGTAAGGTTTTTATCCCATGTTTTTGACCTTGGATAAGAAATGACGTCGTTAGTATTGAGCAAATTCACTAAATGTGTTATTCAGGAAGGTGCAGGTGCTGACAAAGTACTTGTATCGGAAAGGACTCAGAAATCTAGGGCATTTCTTGCAAGAAGTACAGCAAATGGGGTTGTTACAGATCCAGTATGACTTTAACTTAACCTATTTCGTTATTTATTCAATGCTCTTCTTCAGTTGTCTTCCTCAATATCCTTTGATCAGACTTAGGAGTTGAGATTGGTTTAGACTGTTCAAAAATGAATTTATTCATTTGAATCGAACTGTTCTTCAGGGTCTTTCAGAAGAAAGACCTATTGCATCAGAAATAGGTGAACATAAGGATGAAAAGAAAAACAAAAAATCAAAATAATGAAAAAGGATCCGGAAACAGCTTTTTCCTACTTCTCTATGTGCTTGATATTGTTCATGTCATGTTTGCAGGTCCTTGGGCTGTATGGTTTGGTTGAAACTATACTTGCATGTTTGCACGTCCTTGGGCTGTATGGTTTGGTTGAAACTATACGTGCTTGAAACTTTGTAGGAAAATCCTATTGCCTCTATATTTATAATGCGGTGATTATTTGAAATCTTCTACATATTGAAAAATCAGGAAATTTCAGAATTGTTAATACATTCCGGTTGCTTCTAATTGTATATGTATTGGTTTCATCTATGCTTGTTATGGATCTTTTCTCTTGGCTGATTCCAGGGCATTCGTCCAGTTGTCAACAATGATAGACCTGCGCCAGCAAGTAAGTTATGCTTTTCTGTGTTGTACAAAATATCATTGACTAGTGTTTTTTTCTAGATACAGGAAACTGTTATGAAGTAGAATTACGTTTGTTCTTAAGTGACACAAGTTGGTATTCTAGGAATTTATGATATTATTTGTCTACTTAACATTAGGATTTTGGATTCACTAGAACCGCTGCTCGAAAGGTAGTCCAAATATGATTCTCTTTACTGTCAAGTATAGAAAAATACAATGATATTGCATAAATAGATTTAGAGGAAGCGTATGTACATGGTATTTATCCACCACAGGAGCATTCATTCTGTTCAACATGGCAAATTGATGGAGATTAACTGCAACACAGAGAACCATTTGGAACATCATTTAATCACCACCATCCATTATCAGCAGTGGACAGTGCTGTCCCTTGTGGTGTATGCTATACCACACTACTGGTGTGTGTTATGCTTTCTCCTAGATTTATCAGTGGTGCCATTCAACTGCTTCATGGTGTCACATACTTAATGACTTTGGATAAATCAGAATGGAATGAAGTCAGTTCAAATGGGAACCTTTAGGTCTGATGAGAATCTATAGATTAAGTATTAGAGAGGTTACTTAAACGAAAAGAAAAATAAAGATTATGAGTTGAAACTCTACTGACTTTGGGAAGAACCAGGCAATTCAAGTAGTTTAAGCTGGGGCATTTCATCAATATTTGGAGGTGGTGAGCACCGGGCATATGCAAAAGAGGGCCCCTCAACAAGCAAACCTTTTAATGAACCTGTTCGTCATATGGAGCATTCTTTCTCTTTGATTCAATTAAGAGAGGTAATCTTTTATCACCTGAGATGCCTTTGGACGAACTGTACTTGTGTTTTTTGCATTTTTGAAATTTGGTATTGCTTGTTAATTTTTAGAGGTCTCTAAGCGGCTGATTACTTTGCAATTTCAGCCACCTGCTGTTCTCAGGCCTTCAGAAGCCACAGAGCAGGAAGCTATTGAGATAGAAGTGACCAAGATGTTGCTGAAATCCTATTATGATATAGTGAGGAAGAATGTTCAGGACGCTGTGCCTAAAGCAATAATGCACTTTCTGGTGAGTGCATGACGCGCTCTCTCTCTCTCACACACACACACACACTCACACGCACACTGGATTGAACTGGTTGGGGTTTTCTATCTGCTCTTGATGCACACTTCAAAAGTTCTTATTCATGAAGCAAAATGATATTTGGTGTTATTTTCTGTTGCCTAGGTTAATCATGTCAAGAGAGAGCTCCATAATGTATTCATAAGGAAGTTATACAGGTACAGTAGATCAGTGGACCAATTCCTTCTCATGCAAATTTTTTTTTCAGTTTATATTGGTTATTAGAAATCTCTCGTTCAGTTACACTTTCATTGACTTTATGTATTCAAGAATCTGATATCCTTGATTAATGGTTTAAATAAGTGGATTGGTTTTTATTTTTTGGTCTTTTTTTGGAGAGAGAGAGAGAGAGAGAATTTGATCAAGATATTGGAATTTCTTGCCTTTGCAGGGAGAATCTCTTTGAAGAACTGCTACAAGAGTACGAAGAAGTGGCATCCAAGCGGAAACGGTGTCGAGAGTTACTACATGTTCTACAGCAGGCGGTTTGGGTAAATGTCAAAATGTTTCTCTCACTCTCTCTCTCTCTCTCTCATATTCTGACCATTTCCTTTGGAAGTAGCTCTATCTGTGTTATTCTGACCAGTTCCTTAGGAAAAAAAAGGTATAGTATAATCTGTGAGTTATGGTATAAGGTAGTCTGACGAGGCGCCCACTGTCCATTCCTAATGACAATGACGGATATATGCTGTACCCCGTGTTTCCCCTCCACCTTGACAATTAATCTCCACTGTCCATCATGAGGAATAGATGATGATGGTAGACATTTAACTGTAGACCTGTGCCCTCACCCCATCTTTGAAATTGATCTCCTCTAGCCATCATGAGGAACAGAATTTAAGTACAGCATTTATGTTCTGCTGGATTATGCTTTAGATTCACAAATATTGGTTATCGTAAAAACATATAATTCAAAGTTTCAAACAAATTATTTTGGGTTTTCAGACATTAGAAGTATTACCACTCGAGGCCGAGATGGTCACAAGAGATGCAAGCACTGATGCCACTGGTTTACCAAAGGGACAGGATCTTTTGCCGTCTTTTTCCTCATCCCAAAATGGAGATTTTGTGTGGTCTTCTTCAGCTTCTTCTAGGAATCCGAGGTCTAAAAAATCTTCTTACTCAGGGGAGCTGTTCTCACCTCATAACCCAATCAATAGCATTCCAGCCAGGTACCCTACAATTGAGGTGTAGGCTCTCTTTCTCTCTCTAGGAAAAAGAGAAAGGGACCTTATGACACCCACTCTTGTAAGTTCTCTCTCATGCCACACCAAATTTCATTCAGTTTTATTTTACCTTAATTATCAAATATGAAGAGACCAAACCCATTTCACCCACTTTTGTAATGGTGAATATGGCGAATGTAAATCGAGTTTGTGTTCGTTTTTGGGGAAATCTATGATGGTTAAATAGAGTAACAAATATATTTATATTCTTTTTCTCAATAAGAAGCCTTCGAATGCAAAGGTGAAGGCACTAACTGTAAGGGCTACTGTTCATATCTTACGTTATGTGCCCATCTTGGCTCAATTTAATTGGGTAGCTGAAGTCACAGTTGTATGTTGTTTAGTTCTATGGAAATAAGAAATTGAAGCAATAAAATTGGAACATAAGTTATTCCTATTGACTGCGGGGTAAATTTGTGAATAGTTTATGATAATGTATAGAAGAAAGTAGCATTTTCTTGGAGGAAAAAGTTTTAATAGGGCATGCGCCTGGTACTAATTTTTCGAAACAAAAAATGTTAAAATAAGGAAAGGGCATTATAAAAAAGAAGTATAGTGATGTCTCACCAAAAATTGAATTTGCAGTAGGGAAAAAATCTTCAAATTAATCGCCTCGCCTCGATTTTGACTGTTTAGACCGTTCATTTGAAGTGTTAATGGACTTTGGCGATTTGTACCATTTTTTTGAGCTCCAAATTTTATTACGGGTGATGCAAATAAATTTAAGAGCCATCATTGTGGTTCCCTGCGCCAAAGTGAGGTGATGTTAAGGTTGTAACCTTGTATAAACTTTTTCATTTAAAATTTATAGGTTCAAGGAGATAACATAAAAGTTAAAAGATGTCATGCTTAAGTAGAAGCATACTATTTATTTACTCAAGGAAAAAGTTTATATCAGGTTGCAACCTTAAAATGTAGAAATAAAAGATGTATTTTAAAAATCCATTGGAAAATGTTCTTTTAATGTTAAAAAACCATTTAATTGATCATCTCGACATCAAGATGAATGAACATGAAAAGAAAAAAGATTTTGAGTCTCAAAAATAGTATCTTGTGACATATTATCTAGTTTGTCTATTTTCAAGATGTTCATATGTTTATATATATCTACTTGATTTTAATCATTTTTGAAGTTTAAAATTTTATAATTAGGTATGAAAATAGATTTTTAGATAATCCTAATAATTTTTACATCAAAATTAGCTATTGTGATATAATTTGGAGGTGCTCATAAGTGGATACATCAAAATTAGCTATTCTGATATAATTTGGAGGTGCTCATAAGTGGATTTTTTAAGGTTGCAACCTTACAAAAACCACACCCTTTACTCAATTGGGTAAATCTAATCTAGTGGTGATTTTAGGAATTCAAATTTTGAGGATGTAACCTCTTCAAGCATAGGTTAACCTCAAAAAAGAGAACTTGTGTATCGCAATCTCCGTGCACTTGAAAAATTGATGTCTCAAAATTTATTAGAGGCCAATCCTTTTAGGGTGAGATCTAAGTTAGAAAACTTAAATTTCAAAATTTTTCATTTGAAAATAATGAAGTGAATTTTTTTTTTTGTTAAAAAGCATCCCAAATAGGTCAAATTTGAGAGAGGAGAGGCAAAGGATAGAGAAAAATTGTTCATTACGTCGGGGGACACATTTGTACATTTGCGTTGCCCCAATGGTATAAAGCTATCCATCTTAAAGATGGATGCTAGTTGAATCTAACTATCTAAATATTTTATTGGAAAATTACAAATAACCCTTAAGACGAGTTTTTTATGCAAGGTACCCCCAATCAAATGTTTTGTCTCACATTTTTCTCCTTAAGACACTTTTTTAGCAAATATCTCCAAAGTAAAAGATGTACATTTTTTTAACGAAAATAACCTTTTTCATATAGAAAAATTTAATTTTAACCGGACATTCACGCAGGCTTATATGGGCGGCCGGACAGCTATTTGACATTGGCGGACCCGTTAAACTAAAAAAAAGTGTCGAACCACTCTTTGACATTGCTGGACCGTACTTTGGGCTTGTTGCTATACCACATGGGCTTATTGCTAGAACACTCTTTGGCAGTGCCGGACCGCAAGGGCTTATTACTGGACTGTTCTTTTTCAGTGCCGGACTATCACTTGTATTGTCGGACCGCCACTTGTACTGTTGGTCTGTCATTGTTATTTACTGAACTAATATTACATCACCGGACTACTCTAAGAATACGCGAGACCGTCTTTTGGTGGGGAAAGAGGAGAGAGAGACGTGGGTAAAAATAAGGGAAGATAGTTTAGATTTTTTTTAAATTTTTTTTTGAGTTGGGAAGGGGGTATTTGCTAATAATTCTTTTGGGGTAAAAAGTGAGAAAAGTTTAGTTGGGGGTAACTTGCATAAAAATATAATTTGAAGGTTCTTTGTAATTTCATGTTTTGTCATCATAAAATTATTACTTTAAATTTTTTAAATTCATTTATTTTTTCATATTTTTGATCTCCGTATTAGAGATTATATGCCTTAAAAAAAGTTCAAAAACGAATCTTAAAATAGATTTTTAAGAGGGGAAACAGTGTCCAGGATAAAATTTAAATGCAAAGAAGTGGAGAGAATATAAAATGCACAGAAGTGGAGAGAACGTAAAATGCACAGAAGTGGAGAGATCATAAAATGCAAAGAATTTAAATCCACAGAAGTGCAGAGAACATAAAATTGAGTGAGAACATAAATTTTAGAGAGAGAAAAATTTCAGCTATGTTTTTTTGAGAGTTGAGACAGAGAACATGAGGAATAGAATTTTAGCAATTACTCTGAAGTTCCAAATTCCAATACCCGTTCTCTACCCGTACGGTTCCTATAAGTAGTAATTAATTGATTAATCCCTTGCATAAATGTCGACCCGTATCGAAATTTAAAACAAAACCAGTCATGGCGGGCTCAGCACCAAACCTGCAAATTCACAGGTTTCCCCAGCCCAAATACATCGATGCCCTAAAATGGCTCCCCCCCATTGCAGCTTTCGACCGCTTCATCGTTTTATCTCTTTTTGACCCTAGCTCTGATTCATCCTCCATTGAAATCCAATCACTTTCTCTCTCTACCCACTCACCCGAACTCCACCTTCTCTCTACATGGCCTTCTCACTCTAGAATCTCGTGTCTATCTGTTTGCCCCTTCTTCCAAAAACCCATTATCGCTGCTGCTTCTCTCTCTGGTTCTCTGCATTTTGTAGTTGCAGACGCCATTGAAGCTTCAATAGATGATGGTTTCTCTGTGGAAGATAAGGGTTTTCATAGAGCTGGGGTTTTTTCCATTGATCTGCAATCAAGCACTTGTGAATGTGTGTCTGCTGGTGAAGATGGGAGGATCAATTTGTCAAAAATTGAGGGATCGAGGGTTGTGTACGGTACGGTTTTTGATGGAAAGGGTTTGGTTTCATACACTTCAGCTCGATGGGCTTCGCCATGGGAGTTCGCCACTGGTGGGTTAGGATTTGGAGTTCAATTTTGGGATCAGAGGAAGCCAGGCGGCCCTGTTTCTCAATCACCTGCTAAATGGTATGCTATTGTTTGAAACACTTGCTAAATGGTAAGCTATTGTTTTGAGTGATATTTGTTTTAGCATATGAAGACTCTCTCTCTTTCTCTCTTGTAATGGCTCTTTCTCCCTCCATGTGTGTGCCTGTGAAAAGGCTCTCATCCATAAAATAGGTGTCTCTTGCAGTGAGTCTTTCTCACTCTCCGAATATGGGTGTGATAAATCTACCCTCTCTCTGTCTCTTTCTCTATGGTAGGGACTCTTTCCTACTCTCTGAGTGTTGGTCTGTGAAAACTTATCATCTCTCTTTTGCAGTGATTCTTTCTTACTCTTAGACAGGTTTGTAGGCAATAAGAAGTGAACAAATATTAGTATCTAGCAAATCATACCTAGGAAATAGTCCTAATATATGAATTTAAACTCCAATTGAATATATTATGATATCTTAAATAAACAAATCAATCACTTCAGGAGTTTCACAAATTTTGTACGTGATCAAATTTGGGTAAGGAATAAGCAAAATGGATCCAAGTAACAAACTCAGTAGATTAAAATAGCAGCTTTTATGTAGATGTGACAGGAAATAGTTAGTAATATTTACTTCGCCAAAATGAATAGTACTATATATTTATATAGTTCGAGATTTGTATGCATGCATGCTTCACTTAATTAGTAGTACTAACGCTGCATATTCCAACACTCATCACTGTTGTTGTGATGCAGTGCATGATAATTACTACCTCCTAAGTTTCACATGTATGCTTCTAGACCACTCTCACATAAGGCCAAATCTTAGGCAAATATCCTTCCTATCCTCGAAGTGGTTAAACTCTCAAGCCACAACGGTTGGCACACTACTTATGTCCTAGTTGCCGCTCGCACAATTAATAAGATTTAGAGTGCTATTCAAGTATCATTAAGTCATTATAACTCAGAATGCCACATATCTTCGGGCCACAAAGGCCTAGGATGCTACATAAGAATCATTTAAACACAATGGCTTGGAGTGCCACAGAGGTGTCATCAGGTCACAAAAACCCGGAATGCTACACAAGTGTCGTTGGGTCACAGAAGCCCATAGTGCCACATAGGTGTCGTCAGGTCGCAAAAGCTCAAAGTGCCACATAGGTGTCATCGTTTCAAAGGTCAGGGTGTCACACATGAGTCACTGGACCACAAAGGCTTAGAGTGCCACACATGTCATTGAGTCATGAAGGCACGGGCATTCGTCATTGCTTTGTTATTGGCTTATCGCAATGAATAATTATAGGGACCTTCAAGCCTAACCATGGGCTACTCGCTCGACATTTGCTGTAAAGGGATTGGTTACTGCAATCCTGCAGCACAGAGGTCTTGTTAATGATTATAAATTCAGCTTGCATTGTTGAGTGAGATGTGAAATTTTGCTTCTCATTCCCCCTTAAAATGCTAGTTCCACCATAGGTAACCATCCGTATCTCCTCCCATATTAGCAGTACTATAACTTTCTGAGACAAGATTACCATTTCATAGCACAAACCATAACTACTTATCCCTGGGTTGCACATTTCGCAACTTGCAACATGTAGATACATGATTTTTGGCACTTTGGTTGCAAATAATATAAACAGTGTAATATTGGTCATTTTTTGTTTTTATCAAGGAGACTTTGATCTTTTTCAGTTATGTGGTTATTGGTGTCCTATCTAAAGCGACATGGGAAATAGCTAATCCACAATTCCACATTATTTGCAAACTGCAATTTCCCCCCCTCAATGTGGTCGTTCAAAATCCTTCCAGAACTAGCCTAATCTCTACTCTCTCTAAATCATAAGGAAAGAAAACAAACCAAATCCCTTTTCTCCTTCTAAAATCATGGAAAAGAATCAATACTTTATCTCTCTGTGGCGTTCATAAGGAAGGAGGATGACGAGTTTCATTGGAGGTAATATGGATGGATGGTTTTCCTTGACCTATCTACACCAATCAAGGTAGGAAACTGGGTCGACCAAAACCAAAAAGGAGAGGCTATATGAATCCTCTCTTGATGGAATTTGAGGAGAAACAAGGGGGGGGGGGGAGGGGGGAAGGGAATTTGTATGATCCAAAGAAATAAAAAAGAGGATAACAAACTTAGAGAGAGAAACTCATTGCTGGAAAACAGAGCTTGGATGATCCAAAGAAGGGATGGGGCTGCGATGATGAAAAGGACTCTTTGGTTTCTAGGCTGCTCATGTTTCCTTTTCACTCTCTACTATTTTGCACTCTCTCTCTCTACTATTTTGCATGCTCTTTCTCTCTCTTTGCTGGATTTCTATCAATCTTTGTTTGTCTTCTCCTCTCCTCTCACATGTGCTTGTATCTCTCTCCACTGTCTCTCTCTGTGGTTATTGTGTCGTTCTCTCTATAATATTTTGGGCTCTCATTCTTTGATGGTTTGCACTTTCCGTCTCTTTACTGGTTTGAACTTGGCCTCTTTCTCTTTGCTGGCTCTCTGTCTCATTCTGACTAATGAACTGACTTACCTCATGTGCATGATCGATGTTATGAAAGATAACATCCAAGTGATAGCTAATGGCTTTGTCTCACTATGATGTGATTTTCCAGCAGTCTTCATATTTGTTCCTTAGGAGTCTATCTCACGTGTTAGTCATGCTTCAATTTCATCTTTTATGCATTACTTAATTTGAGCGGATTTTATTGCATGTGTCTCTTCCTTAGACGACCTTGTTACATTGATATTGCCCATCTATTTGTTTGATTGAGAGAGTGGTTTTAAAGTTCTTAACTTGCCCATCGCTCGCACACACATTACTATCATGTTCGGTGCGTTTATAATGCGTTATTAAATAATGTATCAGAATCTTTTCACACATGTTTTTAAGGTCATGTTATGTTGCACTCGAAGGTAACTATTTATCGTATGTTTGACCTTCATATCTGATGTTGCAATTTTACTTCGAGTTTGAGTTTTTCCTTACATTGCCTTTCCTCCTTATTCTCGATTTTATTTAGGTTTGTGGTACTCCCTAAGCAAACAAAAATGGAGTACTCCCTAAGCAAAAACTCCATTTTATTAGCTTTGAGTTTGAGTTTTTGCTTATCCTCCATTTTATTTTAGGTTCGGGGTACTCCCTAAGCTAAAATAAAATACATTGTTGCTCCCTAGGCTTATCCTAGGGCGACAATCAATTATTTTCATTCTTATTGTGATCCTATCGACCTTGAAATCACCGGAATCTTAGATTTGCGGGCCGCCGGGTGTAATATCTATAAATTAAGATGAAATTACTGTTCACGGGTAATTGCCTCAGCAACTTGTTGAGGCCGAGGTACTTAGCCAAGTTCGAGTTGATTCGAACGAGTTCTTGAAAACTGATTTTGATTGATGATACCATGCTTATGAAGACATCGAAGTCATGGAAAGTATATTCTCCCCGTTTATCATTCTCAATAATTCTAGTCATTTTACCTAATTTGTTTTCTACTTCTAATTTATATTACTTTAAATTTTCCAAAGCTTTTGACTTAGATGTAATGAGATAGGTCTAGGAATGCTTGGAAAAATCATCAATGAAATGTTACAAAGTATTCATTGCCCTTAAAGGTTTCTTACACTTCTCCTTTGGGGAATGATTTTTTATGCGTTTTCCGCAGTCAATTTTCACATTTAACTTAATCCAGATTCTCATAAGGAATTAGGTTATTTTGGCGTCCTATTTAATTTTTCACATACAATGTACTCTAATCTTCTATGCTGCACATTCATTTAAAACATTCCATGTAGTGAGAAAGCTTCTTTATTTCATTGCCAAGAACCAGTTTGTACATATTACCAAGTAGCACCGTCTTGGTGACTTCTATACCATTTTTTCTTAAGGTCATAATCCCACCCTTGACAATTGTTTCTATACTTAATGGCTTTTCTGGTGTATAGCTTTTTAATAGTTGTTTTTTGAAGTTGAAATAAGTGAGGAAATGTTAGAAAGTATTTCAAAACCTAATTCAAACATTTCACTATTAATTCAAATCCTTGATTTTAAATTTTGACATCATCCTTTTAAAGAAAGTAAAAAATATTTGTTTACTATGCTTAAATAGATTCTTCAGTGGTGTTTGTCATTAAATTTTCTCCCTCCACCAATAGCCTAAATAGAGGGGCTATGGGCTGAGAAGAGTGATGCTCAAGCATCATGTCTTACTTTTCTATCTCTAACCTGCTCTCACTACCAATGTTCGGGGGCTTGATAAGAGTGGTGTGACACTCTTTGGTGGCCTCCAAGTCACACCTCTGATAACAGTTATTCTCTTTCTAACAGTGTGCTGTGGCCCACTTTCTTTGTCTCTCTAACAATGGGCTGCAACCTGCTCTCTTTCTATTTCCAATAGTGGGCTTTGACCCACTCATTTTCTCTAACAGTGGGCTATGGCTGTTTTATTTCTTTCTAAAGTAGACTGTTCCATTCTCTTTCTCTCTCACTAACTGTGGGCTGCAAAGGGGCTGCAGACTGTCTCTCTCTACATCGATCTATGATAGAGTTTGTTCTTTGTGATTTTGTGCTTCCCTCAATTACCCATCTACATACAAGCTACTATTTAATCTAGGGTGTTCATTCTGTAAGACAACAAGTCATGAAAATAATAGAAAGCTTAACCTACTCCTGGAAGGATATGAAGAAAACTCTTAAGCACAATGGGACCATTTCAATTTTAGAACAACGTTAGAGCTCATCTTTGATTGGAAAAAAATGATCGTTTGGAGGAGAAGCAAGATAATTCCTGAGCTTGTAAACCGTAAAAAGGGACAATTCAAGAAGGTAAATAAACTAGTAATACAGCAAGAAAATAGTGAATCCATAATACTAAAATTCCTATGAAAGTGAGGAGATGTTTTTGTTGTAACTTGTATGGTCATATCCAAAATACTGTAGGGCACCAAAGAAGAGCAAAGCTGGAGAACCCAATAGATCAAAGTTTGATGCTGGATCAAACCAAGCATGTGACATTGGTTTTGTAGTGGAGTCTTTACTTGTGACACCAT